ATTTTTATGGCTGAGTAATATTGCATAGAGTATATGTGCCACACTTTTTAAATCCATTATTTTGTTTGTGGGCATTTGGATTGGTTCTATGTCTTAGCATTTGTGAATAATGCCACTATAAACATCGATGTGCATACAGTTTTTTAGCTAAGAATTCTTCTGTCCTTTGAGTAGATACCAAGTAGTGGGATTACTGGATCAGGTGGTAGTTCTATTTGTAGATCTTTGAGGAATTTCCATATTGTTCTTCACTGTGACTGGACCAATTTACATTCCCACCAGCAATGTAGGAGAGTTCCCATTTCACCACATCTGCACCAGGATTTATCATTATTTATTTATTTATTTATTTAATTTTAGTCATTCTGCCTGGGGTTAGGTAGTATTTCATTGTGGTTTTGATCTGTATCTCCCTTACAATGAGGAATGTTGGGCATTTTTTCATATGCCTTTTGCTATTTGTATATCTTCCTTAGATGGTCATTTTTTCCACCCTTTTCTCCCATCTTTTAACAGGGTTGATCACCTTTTTTTGGGACAGCTGATTGAGTTTCCTGTGTATTCTGGTTATCAGCACCTAGTCTGATGCAATGTTTACAAAAATCTTTTCCCACACTGATTATTTTGTCCTTGACAGTACAGAAACTTCTTAATCTGATGTAATCCCATTTGTCTATTTTTGGGATTATTGACTGTGCTTTTGGGGTCTTACTTTGTTTATCTTTTCAAAGAACCAACTTCTACTTTCATTTATTTTCTGTATAGTTCATTTATTTTCTATTTCATTTATCTCTGCCCAGATATTTATTTCACTTCTCTAAGAGCTTTTTGAATTTTTTTGCTGTTGCCTTCCAATTCTTTGAGGCATGATGTTAGATGGCTCATTTGCCTTCTTTCTATCTTCTTTTTATGAGCACTAATCGCTATGAACTTCCCTCTTATGGCTGCTTTTGCATTGTCCCAAAGATTATGGAAATTTGTGTCCTCATTGTTATTGGCTTCCATGAATCTTTTGTTAATTGTGAAGTCATTAAGGAATAGGTTATTTAGTTTCCATGTATTTGTGTATTTTTTAAGTTGTATTTGTGTATTTTTGATGATTTCTCTTGAAATTAATATGAAGTTTAATTCCATCATGGTCGGAGAAGATGCCGAATATAGTTTCTATGCCTCTGAATCTCTAAAGGCTTGCTATGTACACTATAATATGGTCAATCTTCGAAAAGATTCCATGGGTTGGGGTGAGTAAAAAGTATATCTTGTGGTTTTGGGGTGAAAGATTCTATAGATCTCTGTTAAGTCCATTTTATTTTGGTATCATTTAGGTCCTTTATCTCTTTATTTATTTTTTTTGTATAGATATCTGTCTAGGGGAGATAGTGGGGTGTTGAAGTCTCCAACACTTAGTGTGTTGCAGTCTATCTCTTTTTTCAGATCTAACAGTCTTTCCTTCATGTATTTGGGTATTCCTGAGATAGGTGCATAGATATTTACAAGCGTTATATCTTCTTGATGGATTAACCCTTTTACTACTACATAGTGCCCTTCTTTGTCTCTTTGAAACTTTTTTATTTTAAAGCCTATTTTGTCAGAGATTACTATTGCAACTTCAGCTCTTTTTTGGTTCCTATTTGCATGGGATACCTTTTTCCAGCCTTCACTTTTAGACTATGTAGGTATTTATCCATTAGATGCATTTCTGGTAGGCATCAGATAGAGGGTTTCTTTCTTTCTTTTTTTTTTTTTTTTTCCATTCAGCTACTCTGTATCTCTTGATTTGAGAATTTAATTCATTAACATTATATGTTATCGATATTTCTGGACTTGTTTGTATCTTTAAGTTGGCCATTGTCTTGGTTGTCTTTTATTCCCTTATTTCTGGCTGTTCATTCTTTAGTTCTCCAGGTACAGGACTCTCTTCAGAGTTTCTTGAAGAGCTGGTCTGGTGTTGGCAAATTCCTTCAGGTTTTGTTTGTCTGAGAAGATTTTAATCTTTTTTTCCCATATGATGGACAATCTCGCTGGATATAATAATCTTGGTTGAAATTGTTTCTCTCTTAATACTTTCAATATATCTTCCCATTCTTTTCTTGCTCGCATTATTTCCATTGAAAGGTCTGGTGTTAACCTGTTGGGGTGACCTTTGTAAGTCACCTGTCTCTTCTCTCTTGCCAATTTTAGTATCTCATCTTTATCTGTGGTTTTGTCCAGTCTGGCTAAGATGTGCCTTTGGGAGGATCTTCTTGGGTTGATTCTATCTGGGGTCCTTGGTATTTCTTGGATTTGAACGTTTGAGTTCTTCTCTAGACTTAGAAAGTTTTCTTCCAGGATTTCATATAACAGATTTATTTCCTTTGGAGAAGTCTTTTTTGCTATAGGGCGTATGCGCTCGCCAGACAGACAGAGAGAGATATAGAGACAGAAAGCGAGAAATCACCCCCCAGGGGGGATGGTCACGCTGCAATCCCTTGTCCTCCATTCTCTTCTTGGGATCTTGGGCACACACGCACACGTGCCCGGCGTGAGTTTTAAGCCACCGGGTCCAGGACACGAACCACGGTTGACTACATGGGAATCCAGCGACATAGCCATTACGGTAACTGCTGATTCTCATGTAATAGATTTTTCATGCACTTACTAGTTTCTTCACCTTCTGGGATAACAATTATTCAGATGTTTGGATGTTTAATGGAATATAGTATTTCTTGTGTATTATCCTCATTTTTTGGTTATTTTCTCTATGTTTTTGGTGGATTTTCTAGGTCAGAAGTTTTATCTTCTATGTCAGAGATTTGATCTTTAGCATGATCTAATAGACTTTTAATACTTTTGAGAGAGTTTTTGATTCCCTGTATTGCAGACTTCACCTGTAGTAGTTCCATTTGACTGTTTCTTTTACCTATTTATTTATTATGTCTTGTTCTTTTATACATCCTTCTTTCAAATCATGGAAGGACTTCCTCATCTTCTGGACTTTGTTGTCTCTTTCCTGTTCCAACTCATAGAGCTTTGTCACTATGAATGTTCTGAATTCTTTGTCTGACATCTCAGTAACTTCTGTTTTTCAAGAGATGCAGAGGAGTTATTGTTTTCTTTTGATGGAGACGTATTTCCTCGTTTCTTCAAACCTGAGGATCGTCTTCTACTTCTACCCATTGGGTGATGTATTCACTTTTGAATACCTTTTTGGAGAATGTTTCTGGCACTGGGAACAAGTTTGCTTCCCTTTTGTTGTGAATTGATGTATGCCGAACACTCTCTTCTGCTGCTATTTGCAATGTGGTCCACACAGAGGAGTCTTTTATTCAGGTGTCTGAAGAGCAGTTTCTCTTTTTTCACTGGTGGATAATAAAAAGGAGGGTCCCAGGGGGCCTCCCAATACAAGGGTATTGAAAACTATGATTTTAGACTTGTCTAGTCTCTCTGGATGGGAGGAGGATGAAGAGAAGATGACAATATAAGAGGGAAGAATAAGAGTATAAAAGAAAGAAAAAGTCAAGCACCCAGTTGGTGGGGAGGGGCTGCAGATGGAACTGGGCTCTGCTGGAGAGCTGGTGGCTGCCCTAAGGGGTAAGGTCAAGTAGGAAATTAACAAAAGAAAGAAGAAAAAAAAAGGCAGTTTACTTTCTTTACTGGTGGGAGGGTGGAGGTGGGGGGACCTCTGCTCTTGGGGGAGCTGGGCTGGATTCCAGCAGCTGGAGCTGGGGCCTTGGCCAGTGAAAGGCCCTGCCTCAATTTCCCTGACTTGCCAGGGGCTGCAGATGGAACTGGGCTCCCATATTGAGTATTTTGAATCCTTTGACTTTAGATCACAATTCCTCCAAAATAACAGTCTTAAAAAGCAGTTTATTAGGGAGTCCATAATGGTGTGATCTGAGTGACCTGAGATCATTTTTCTACTCATAGAAGTGTAGAAGCACATATACATACATATATGAATACACACACACACACACACACACACACATGCACACACATAATTTGGCATACTGCTAAAATTCTACAGTGAAAAAACTTTCCTTTCTGAATTCAGCTCAACTAATAAAATTAATCAGGGAATATAACATCTACCAACTAATAAAATTAATCAGGGAGGAAAACATCTATCATAATAATTTCTGAAAAGTTTATAAGTGCTTATATTTCTGTAGTATTTTGCAATTTATAGCTGCTTTTACACATGTATATATGTGTGTGTATATATATATATATATAAATGTATATATATTATATGCAATTCTCATGTCATCCTATTTATATCTTTCAGACTAAAGAATGTGGTCTCAGTGTTACCACCACTGGTTACGAAGTGACAGAGCTAGGACCCATGCTCGGATCTCTCCAAAGTCCATGCTCTGCTGTGCCTATGGATCTCAAACTCAGGGTGAAATCTCAAAACCTACACTTTTCAAAGGCCTCTCATATGGTTCTGATAACACCACAGTCTGGAGCCCATGTACTACTGGAGCCATGTATCATCCTGCAAATGGAGACTAGATAGTGATAGTGATATATTAGAGAATTAAAGCTCTAACTTTTTGAGCCTTGTGCTCTCTATGTTGCTTAAGTGATATTACCATTCTCAATCTTAAATTCTGGTAAGTAACAAAGTTGATATGTCACTTTAGTGATTGTCAGTCATCCTGTGTTTCAGTAGGTGGGTATTTTCCAAATTTGGATGTAACAGGCAACCCAACGAGCAAAACAGAAAGAAAATATTTGAATTTTTATTTTTACTTAAACTGCAAAAAAATCTTTTCAAAAATTTTACTAATATTTACTATGTTGGTGGACAGTGGTTCCTAAAGTCTTTAGATGATTATAAAGGGGTATAGTCAGCTATTGTACCGTGGGGGTGCTCAATCAAAAAATATATTGGACCACTGTCAAGACCTCCTTGCCTGTGGCCAGGAAAGTGTGCTCATTCTTCTGGGGAGGAATCAGGAGGCATTGTATGTGGTTATGCAATTTGTGTTGCAATCCTCACAGGATGGTAGGAAATGACCACAGAGGCTAGAAATCTCTCCCACTCTGTGAGTGACTTTGTCCTCCTGGGCTTCCCTTGCCGCTGGGAAATACAGGTCTTCCTCTTTTCCTTATTCTTTGTGACATACATCCTGACTATCCTCGGAAACATGGCCATTGTGTGTGCAGTGGGCTGGGACCGCCGGCTGCACACCCCCATGTACATTCTGCTGGCCAACTTCTCCTTCCTGGAGATCTGCTATGTCAACTCTGATGTGCCCAACATGCTGGCCAACTTCCTCTCCAAGACCAAAACCATCTCCTTTGTTCGATGCCTCCTGCAGTTGTACTTCTTCTTCTCACTGGGCACAACTGAATGCTTATTTCTCTCCATCATGGCCTATGATCGGTTCCTGGCAATCTGCCGCCCCCTGCACTATCCCACCATCATGACCACTAAGTTCTGTAGCAGCCTGGTCATCTTCTGCTGGGTCTACGGTTTCCTCTGGTTTCTGATCCCTGTGATCCTCGTTACTCAGCTGCCATTCTGTGGTCCAAATGTGATCGATGACTTTCTGTGTGACCTCGGTCCCCTGCTGGCCCTGGCTTCAGCCTGTGTCCCGATCCCAGGGACTGTTCTCATCTGTGGCACCATGAGCTCCCTCCTCATCTTTGCCACCTTTTTCTACATTACTGGCTCCTACACCCTGGTGCTGTGGGCTGTGCTGCAAGTGCCCTCTGCTGCCGGCCGGAAGAAGGCCTTTTCCACCTGCTCTTCACACCTGGCTGTCGTGTTTCTGTTTTATGGTTCGGTCATGATGACTTACGTGAGCCCAGGGTCAGGACAAGCAGAGGGCATGCAGAAGTTCACAACTTTGTTCTACTCAGTTTTGACCCCTCTTTTCAATCCTATGATCTACAGCCTCCGGAATAAAGAAATGAAGGATGCTTTGAAGAAAGTTCTAAGAGGTTCCTAAAATTAGCATTAGCATTAGTGGGTTAATTCACAAGTGGGTTCAGACTATGAGTCCCCTGTCTGTGTTCAAAACAGGCAAGTAGTTGTGAAGTTTTGAGTGAGGTGGTTCAAAACCCTAAATGCTGTATCATCAGTGAAGTCTGTCACAGGCAGAATTAACTGACTTTGCTATGGTACATTGTGTGTACTCTTACACAACATGTCTTTCATGCTTTTAATGAATTGTATCTAATACTTTACACATTTGTGTGTACATGCCTTTCCATCCTTATTTGACTATGAATTCCTTCAGGGGAAAAAACTATGCTTTACTTACTTCTGTATGTCCGGAACCCAAAACAGTACTTAACACACAGATGCCAGTAATATCAGTTAAAATAAAACAAATATACTTACTCACATTTCTCTGCTAGATTTAACTGTTCTAGATGGTCAGGATAATATCTGAAGAAACTATATAACACTGTAACAATCTATTTTATACATCTCTAGTTGAAATGAAAAATACTTTCCAAGAATAATGTGAGGTCAGCCTGCATTGACTCCACATTTAATGGATCAACCATTAAATGATTAAAAAATTGGAAAATTTTCCCCATTTGAATGTTGATGTCTAAGAAATTATCCCCTAGCCTGCCTTCATCGATCTATGTAGTAATGTAATTTGCTTTATTTTATTTTCTTATTAACCATGCTTTTGCTCCTGAATATTTTATTATTTTTTTATTAGTAACCATTGTTTATTTTAAAAAGAGGAACATTATTTTTTCAATGTTGTTTTAGAAAAGAAGGTGGGGGACTAGAAGTTGGCATAGTAACTTTGTCTCTGGACTTCCATGTAGTCAACCGCCATTCAAATTCTGGATCCGGTGGCTTAAACTCATGCCAGGTGTGTCTGTGTGCATGTCCATGATCCTGCGAGGTGAGTGGAGAAGAAGGGATTGCAGCATGGCCATCCCCCCTGGGGGGTGATGTCTCGCTTTTTGTCTTTTTCTGGTGAGCGCATGTACCCTATGGCAAAAACTTCTCCCCGCCAAAATAAATAAATAAATAAATAAATAAAGCCAAAATAAATAAATAAATAAAGAATGAAAGAAAGAAAGAAAGAAAGAAAGAAAGAAAGAAAGAAAAGAAGATAGGAATTGAAATTTCTTTTATTCCTTTTATTATTATTATTTTTTTTGAGAGAGAATTTTGGTATACAGCATGTGTGCTCACCAGAGAGATAGAGATTATTATTTTTTTTTTTTAGAGAGAATTTTGGTATACAGTATGTATGCTCACCAGAGAGATAGAGAGAGACGGAGAGCCAGAAAGTGAGTAATCCCCTTCCAGGAGGGATGGCCATGCAGCAATCCCTTCCCCTCTCAGAGTTTTGGGCATCCATGCACATGCACCTGGCGTGTTTTAAGTCACCAGGTCTGGTACTCAAACTGCGGTTTTTTTTTTTAGAGAGAATTTTGGTATACAGTATGTATGCTCACCAGAGAGATAGAGAGAGACGGAGAGCCAGAAAGTGAGTAATCCCCTTCCAGGAGGGATGGCCATGCAGCAATCCCTTCCCCTCTCAGAGTTTTGGGCATCCATGCACATGCACCTGGCGTGTTTTAAGTCACCAGGTCTGGTACTCAAACTGCGGTCTATAAATGGGAGTCCAGAGGCATAACCATTATGCCATCTGCTGGTCCCTAACATTTAATATTCTAAAAAATTCTTTTAACAAATATAATCTTGATTTTTAATGCTGGTAGTTTGTCGTTCTTTTTTATTTATTATCTCTTAAAACAATTTGAGATTAATTAATTTTTTTTCTTGGGTATACCACTCCACATTTTGAAATATGTGGGATCCTCTGAATGTTCATGGAAATTCATATTATGAATAAACTAATTATAGAATACAATGCTTTTGAACTAAAATCAACTCAGACTTTAGTTCCATCTTCCAAGAACTTTTTGAAATCCCCTCTTGTATCATACAACCTGTACTGCTGAAAATGTGGTTTGTGGATCATCAGCTGGGCATCACTGGGGAGCTTGTAACAAGACCGGATAATAGGACCTGATCCCAGGTGTGCTGAATCAGAATCTGCATTTGAACAATATCCTCAGTGGAATCAGATGCACACTGAAGTTTGGAAATCATTGATCTACAACAGATTCAATAATCACAGTCACAGATAGAATTTACTATTGATGTCTAGTGCCATTGGAACAGAGATACTGAAATCACAGGTATTTTGAAAATTTCCCCTAGGACAGTGTAATACAAAGAGGAAGCCAGGAATCACTGCATTCAAGTTTAAGAATTTGCAAACTCAACAGAAACATAGAATATGTCCACATCTACATTTATTTTTTTTCCAGAAGTCATTTTGGAGCAAATCCAACAAACCGAATGGATATTAGATTGTAATAGCTGAAATTATAACCCATGTAAGTAATTGTCTTGCCAAAAATATGATACCCAAGATGAGTGTGTTTTCTATATTATTTATTTGCTGTGTATAGGAACTAATACATAATAAAAAGAACTAAGAAAATGAAGAAAAGAGCATATGGGCAACCTATTCATTTGTTCATTTAAAATGTTAATGTTAATATGGAAAACTAGTTTTTGAAGTGATAAAAGTTATCAGGATTTCCTATCATGAGATCACCTGTGATGGAAATAAATTTATTATCTTTTTGTTCTGTTCAGTAAAAACTTGATTGAATTATAGTTCATATACAATATTGTAAAATTACCTTTTTAAAGTGTACAATGTGATGTTTCTATTTATCCATAATTGCGTAATCACTACCAGCAGACTTTATATCATTTTTATCTCCCCAAATGAAATCCCATGTCAATTAGCAGTCACTCCCTGGCAACCCCTAATACTTCTGTTTTTATGGATTTGACTGACCTGGGTATTTTACAGTATTGTAAAAGAAGATGATAGCTGACCAGGGAAAGAAAGTCTTTGGGAAAGAAGGAGGAAAGGAAAACAAGAAGGAAATAGCCCTTTTCAGGACATTGAGTCAATGAGAAGATTAGATTAAGAATATGTGGCAAATATGCATAGCAGAATCCTCAGCTATAAAGAATAATGAGATCCTGTCATTTGAGAAAAGTGGATGAACCTAGAAGATTGAATGCTAAGTGAAATAAACCACATTATGGAAAAAAAAAAAAACCAAACATGGTAAATCTCTTCTTAAAGCATTGCAGGCCTGCACACTATGGCTGAAATTGAAAGAGTCGAAGACACAGAACTACAGAGGGAAACTATAGATACCAGAGATTGAGGGGGTGGTGAAGGTGGGACTCAAGAAAAAACTTGTAACAGACCCGGAATGCAAGTAAACAAGGCAAACAGATCATGAAATACTGTACAAACATAAAGCAAAAAAAGAGGAGGTCATTTCATATATATATGTAATACATAGCATATACACACTATGTATTATAAATACATATATATGTATATATAAATATATATGTAATATATTATATATATTATATGGATATTATATATAAACACAAAATATATCATATATACTATATATACACATATAGTATGTATATATTATACATAATATATATACTATGTATAATATGAAAAAAACAAACTAGTAGAGTGAAAATTGAAGGTGAACAAAATAATATAACCTTTATAAAATTATGAGCATGGTAATATCCTTGATTTAGAACTGCACACTACATGTGTGCTTTGAAAAACGACTATATTGTGCCCTATAAAGATGTACAATAATTAAATGTAACTAAGAAATTATAAGGTAAATAAATAAATGAGAGACACTGAGTACTCAAATGTCAAAATTCTGATACTGACAATTAGGAGAGTCCAAAACTTGCATGTAGACTAGAGCAAACTAATAAAATTAAATGTGAAAGAATAAAGAGAAAAAAAAGAAAAGCACACACCTGTTGTCTCAGCTAAGCTGGCATTGCTTTAGTGTGTGCACCGTCATAGCAGTAAGGTGCTCTAAGAATAACATAAGATTTTGTGATCACCACTGGAGAAACTAGGTCTCAAGAGCCAGTTAATGTGCTCCTGAGGGACAGGAACCTGTACAATACCATTAACAATCTTCCCTTGTAGACTCCCTCTTTAGGAATCCATAGGAGATTACATCCCTTAGGATGAGTAAGACGTGGGTTTCAGAGCAACATAGGTCAGTCTGCTGTGCAATATACATGCCAATTTCTCTCCACACTACACCTCCTAGACCACCTTTGTGACGACTGACTGCTAAGGATATCATGCCCTCCCTCCTGTCTGCCTTTTGCTCAGTGAAAACAGAAACTCTACCAGATGCCATTTTTATGAGACAATGGATTCAGTAGAAATACGTGTTAGGACCCTGTCATTTAACTCTGCCTTCTTTGTGTTGTGATGAAAACCAAGGGACCTCAAGTGATGTGAACTGACAGAAGATGGTCCTTCACAAGTAAGAAAGTTGGGAGACTCACTGACATGAGAGACATGAAGGTGAGGAAAGAGCCTTGGCAGTGCATAAATTCTGTCTTTATTAACCAGAAGTTGTGCCCAGTGACCCAGCTCCTTATGGGAGCACAGACATTAGTGATGTGACATGTGGAAAAAGATTGACAAAGTGGCTATTGAGCAGTTGGACTGAAAACCATGGGGTATCTTGCGTTTTGTGCTGTTTGTGTCTTCCATAGAGCAGATAATCAGCCACTGAGGGAAGGGAGAACACCAACATGACCGAGTGGGCCAGATAAAATTATCACTGCATCGTTTCACTCTGGTTCATTTAGGACCAAATGATGGCTGTTTCTCACTGACAGAGCATCCAAAAGCAAATTAGTTAGTTATAATCAAATACAGTAAGGGAATGTTTGATAATTTCATTGGTTTTATCTCTCTCAAAATGGAAGTCAGGCAATGTTTTAAACTAAGTCTAATGCAGAGAAGGAAGATTCACAAAGATTCTGTCATCGTTTCCTAAACAATTCTAACTTTCCAAAACT